AGTATGAAATAAAACTGCAGCGCCATCTGTTGAACAGATGTTCTTGTAATGTTCAACAGATGGCGCTGCAGTTTAAAATGCTTTCTTGTTAACTCTCGGTGAATTATCTTGGTCTCAAGCGATTAACTTTCGGCGTGATTATAAGGGTGGGTGAGGGCGGGGTCCCACGCTTCCATCCTCAGTACGCTCAGTACTTCCTGCCGTACCCTGTAAAATGAATTCTTGAGAGGAGCGGTTTGCACAGCCCAATAAGATACTAAGATGCTATATTTTATACCTCATGGCTTTCCATGAGGTTTCAATCAACAGAATGCGCTGTCAGTTATATTACATGTTCTTGCTAACTCTCGCTCATAGAATTTGGTCTCAAATGAATAAGTCAAAGTCACCCCCTAAGGGCGGGTGGTTGGTGGGCGGATGGTGGGCCAAAGGTTTTTTCTTTTTGATCCCATGTGGATTTTAATAAAACCCGCTTAGGTTGAGTGTCTTAATGAGCGGCCGCAAAAAGCAAAAATATTCCCTCACCCCGGTCCCTCCCTGTCTCTCCCTCCTCCCTTACCCTATCTCCTAACTTCTTTCCATGTTCTTTTTCACAAAAATCCTACTGGTTTTGAACCAGGGACCTTCTGAACACTAAGCTGATGTCTTACTCCCTAGACCACCAGCACTACTGAAATGTATTTTCTTTAATCTTCCTCTTAAGTTACATCTTCGGTTATAATTACAGAAAAATCTCCATTTGTATTTTATAAAAACTTTCGTTGGTTCCGAACCCCGGACCTCCTGCACATCAGGCCAGTGTCTTACCCATAGACCACCAATGCCACGGAAATTCTTTACCTTTCATCATCCTCTTATGTGACAGCGTTGTTATTATTACAGAAAAAATCTTATTAACTCCATTTCTATTTCATAAAAATTTCGTTGGTTCCGAACCTCTGAACTCCGGCACATTAGGTCAGTGTTTTACCCATACACCACCAATGCCACGGAATTTTGTTTCCTTCAATCTTCCTCTTATGGTACATCTCGCTATATAATTCCAGAAAAAATGTCATTACAAAAATTCTTGCGGTTTCGAACCCCGGACCTTTCCTTTATAACGCCGGTGCTTTACCTCTACACCACCACAACATCTATGCTACAGCTTTCTGCGATGCTCCTTAATTTAGAGCCCATTCAGATGCTCATGACCAGATCTTAGTCTTGAAGTAAGCGTCACTGTTTGGCCTTTAATGCTTCACATTAGGATGATATCTTACTACAATAAACAGCTATTCAAAAAATGATATCAGAACCTAAAATTTTCAAAACAAAATAACAAACATGTTGTAACTTGTAAAATATACACACAAAAATTATTTAATGCAGAATTTGTGAACATATCAACCTATCACCATATAATATTCCACATGTTTAATTTAGCAAATATGGACTTCCACAAGCTACTATTTTGTTATTTTACCTTAGAAGTGTGAAGACCATGCCTTGATCAGTGCTGCTTCTGCTCTAAATATTATCGGTGTTATGCACCTATCAATGGTTTTGGGATTTCCTTAAACCTCAAAGGAAATTGGCGGGATAATCCCTTAATATACTGTAGCATGTAGAGCCATTGCTGTGCAACGATAGTGAGAAGGGCAGTTATATCAGACCCGTTTCTGGGCATCAGCCCTGTAAATAAGTTCCAGTGGCAACAAGAAAAATGGTGCTATCTATGCGATCTGCTCTGAGCAGTTATACGAGTAATAAAAGAGAACTGGAGCAACCAGTAAGTTGAGCTCTGCAAGGGAGGCTGAGAAGAGATGGAATTATATCTGAGTTGTCAGTTGATAGAGAGTTAGTTGGAAGTCTGGCTGTAGCTAGTGGGACTGTTATAATTAACATGTTAAAATCTGCTGCCAGAGTACGACTAGTGAAGGCTGAAGAAGACTTAGTGTGTAGTGATTTGTAAAGTTTTGAAATCAGTGATAGTGCCAGAATTACTTGTAGTTCTGAGTGGGGTGCATGAGTGGTCAATAAATCCATACGTCTATAGTCACCCCTAAATCATGACCAGTATGCAGTTGCATCCTTCCCTTATTCATGATTCACTGTTCACAATCAGTACTTGATTTCCCATGCAGACATCATACATCACCTCTCTCTGCAGTACCCAACATAGCAAATCCACCTCTACCATGGATTTGTCCATTGTGTGTTCCAGGTACTGTACCGACAAGAGTTACCAGGAGTTCAGAATCTTCGATAGATGTCATGGTTACAAATAGATAGTTTAATAAGAACTATACAGAGATTGTTATCATGGGTTTTTCTGACCATCTGGCTCGGATCTTATGGGTGTATATAAACACACTACTACAGACATACAATCTGTCACACACTGTGAATTTTGCAACAAGAATTCAAAATTCCTCAAGTACAGCCATTGATAATATTTTTATAGACAGTGTAAGATTAAGCTCTTCTTATACATCTCCCATAGTCAACGGCCTATCAGACCATGATGCCCAGTTTCTCACACTAAGTAATACCTTGTGGATTTTAATAAAAGCATATACCTGCTTAGGCGAGTGTTTTAATGAGTGGCCACAAAAAAGCAAAAAATCTTCCCTTCCTCCCTACCTTCTTATCTCTTCACTGCTGTCGGTTTTCTTCTTTTCATTTTTTCACAAAAATCCTATTGGTTTTGAACCAGGGACTTTCTGAACATTAAGCTGATGTCTTACCCCTAGACCACCAACACCACAGAAATTTATATTCTTTAATCTTCCTCTTAAGCTACATCTTCGGTTGTAATTCCAGAAAAACCATATTAACTCACTTTCTATATCAGAAAACTATCCTTGGTCTCAAACCTTCGAACTCCTCTTCATTATGCTGGTGTCTTACCCCTAGACCAGCCACACCACGAAGATTTCTTCTCTTTAATCTTCCTCTTATGTTACATCTGTTGTTATAATTACAGAAAAATCATATACACTTCATATGTATTTTATAAAACTTTGGTTGGTTCTGAACCTTAGAACTCCCCCACACTAGGCCAGCGTCTTACCCTTAGACCACCAATACCACATAAGCTAATTCAGCATAAGTTAATAAGAAATATGAAATAAAAACTGTAGCACCATCTGTGGAGTAAAACCTGACCACTCAACAGTGAGTGTGTGTGTGTGTCTGTATGTATGTCTGTTTTTCTGTGTGTGTGTGTGTGTGTATGTATTTATGTACTACATTACACAGCTATTCACACATAAATATCATTACAGCATATTCATGATTTTGTTGTTTTTGTTTTTTCACTTTCGATGGTCATGTTCTCATATCTCCATTAACCCCATGCAGTACAGGTATTAAGTTTATCCAATGTGGGTTCACCAAATGCAATGCTTCTGGGGAATCCAAAATTAGATGAGGGGCTACTATAATAAACTAACTCCATGAAGCAGTCTCCTTTTGAGAAGCTAATATCTGTTCACCTACTGAAGCAATATCCTGTGTTTTATATAATCCAAAGGGTCATTACTGCATCCACAAGAACTAGCCACTGGACCCTATTCTGATTCAGATAAATCCGGTCAATATTCTTCTAAAATATTTATGGTCTATTTCATGCATGCTATATTCCCCAGCAATCTCACCCTTCTTGATTTGATCATTCCAATATTTGGAGTATAATTATGAAGTCTCTTCAGTAGGTGCAACATAGTTCAACAAATCAAGAAATAAAGTAAAAGTACCTGCCAAATATCTGTTAGACAGAGACTGGTATTACCTGTAGCTGGAGAAAGTTCTGATGCAACTGTGAAGCAGAGAATCAGCTTCCACCTATAGAAACAAATGTGGAAGATCAAGAACAAGAAGCAAAAGGAACTGTAATAAGCACATTTCTGTTGAATCAATATGCTTGCACACTTTGCTTCCTTACACTGAATATGCTTGAACGTAAAGTGCTTTGATCACATGTATATGATGAAATGAAAAGACCACCTTCTATTGATTCACGTTACAATAATTATATTTCATTCTGTACAAAAGTCAGTTATAAAATATTTCCCATCATGTAGTATGGTGTATACTGACAAAGGTGCTGAATATAAACAACAGGAAAAACATTCATTGTACCATTTGATAAATCCACTACAGATCAGCATACACAGGTCAAGTTCATCTGGAAAGGTTAAGGGAATACAGTAAAATATATTTGTGTTCACGCATATGTACACCACACAGAGGAAATACAGATAAAATCATTACAGCCTTTACAGCTGCTAGACTGCAACACAAATCATGTAACAGACTCTGCTCTTTTCTTGTTGGCATTTGAGCATTTCTGTTCAATTTTAATTTGTTTGCTTTAATGAATGCTGAACACAATTTTGGCTGATGATGAGCTTATTTTAGCAGCGTGCCAAGCCTTAATTTCTTGTTATGTTTATTACTATTGTTCATTATCAGTCTGTGTGCTCACTGCAACTAAAAGCCACTAAGCAAACACTGAACCAACCACTGCCAATCACTCATGTATCCAGGGAATGATTCAGCAATACCATGAAATTCAAGATGATGTGGCCATTTTTCACATATTAATTCATGCACCCAAACAGGTAGACTAACTCAGCAGGAGCTATTTGAATCCTGAACAGAAATCACCTTGAGAACAATGAGGGACAGTCAGTAACTCAAATTTGGAAATGAAAGAAAGAAATGGCAAGTACAAGAGATGAACCAAACAAAGCAAAAATTTGTGTCAAAGTGTGAGTATAAGCACCGGTGACATGTTGTTCTGAGAATCACTGTTGCAAAATGATCATATTTGAGTAGAACATCTGCTGCTTATGAGTACAAATAACATGCCATAACATTTAATGATTTGCTTATCTCACTTTTTGGACAAATAAGTATTTTATTCTATGATCATATGAGATATTCACAGAATAATGTGCCATGAATTTAAACATAAGAAGTGAAGTGCAAATGGAAAATATGAGGATATGTTGTTTCCTAATATGACCTTTACAGAACCTTAAATGCATCTTGTGGCAATCTGTCCTACAAGAGCTGTGGGATGGTAACTTAAAAGGCTTCCTCTCTACTTATCCAGCCATCAACCACACTGCTTAATTTGACTTCCAGTGGAGAGTGGAACATCCAGTTCCAAGAAGGCATCTATATACAGGGTATACAATTTTTAAGGAACTAAAATGGAAGCAATCTGCCTATATATGAAATCTGCTTAGCATATTTTTAGTGAAAAATTCTTATTTACTACTTCAAATTATGTGAAATTTTCACATTTGCATATGGTGGAAGCAATCCCCTCAGGTGTCCAAGAGGATTACTGAGTTTCTGGATTATTTCCACCATCTGTTATTAAACAGAACACACCACTTCAGAAACTGGGTGATTCTGTCCTCAGGTGAAAGAGTGGGAGGCACCTACTCTGTTGGATCTGATAGAAAGAGCTAACTTCAGTCACTGAACATTAGTTCTTTTGAACAGCAGATGATGGACAAAATCCCAAAACTCAATAATGCCATGTGTTACAAACCACTGTCAGCACCCTTCACAATCATCTGTCCTGTTTGTATTTTTACATTAATTTTCTAAAGCTCTGCACAGGGAATTTAAGAATGAAATAAGTTAGCAACTATATCTAAAACACAAAGTATTCTTGCCTGAGAACTGTTTAAAATATTTAATGTATGCATGTGGATACTAAGTTCAGTCTTCAAATCCAGTCTGGACATCCTGTGCTAGCAATATATTCACATATTCTCTATTATAAACTTCACAAATCAACCTTCACATTAGTACATAATTGTTTAATATTATCACATAAGAGTAAAACATATTCCTTTAGTAGAATTTGGGCAGACTTTGGAATATCAGACTCTAATGAATTATATTCATAAATAAAAATTCACACTTAAAATTGCTTGTGGCTCCATTTCTTATGCATGAAATATGTATGGTAAAATTCCACACCTCTGCCATCCCCTCCTTTGTCATAAACAAGAGTATGGCAATACTTATTATTCTAATTACATGATAAAAAACAGGGAACAAGGAAAGGGACCTGACTCAGGTAGCACGGAATGGTTCAAACTGGTGAAAGAATGGAAACAGACCTCTAAGGAGAGAAGCAGATTTAGTTTCTAAGCTACTGGGCACATTCCATTGTGACTTCACAACATACAATTAAATGTTACACAGCAATGGAAACGCATAGCACAATGAAGTGGGCATGTGGCAACACAAAGCACATATCACAAATCATTCTCCAGCAATAACCAAGTATACAGTTAAATTCCTATAAGTAAAAATATAAGAAATACACATTGATGCTTTCAATTAAATAAATCAATGAACCACATCAGTGGTATTTTTTGGAAGTCCTGGATGAACCAAATTAGGTCACTTGAACATGGTATTCCAGATGCTGGATCAATTTCACTGCATGCAGACTGTTCCGTGATGTGAGCAACTTACAGACAAAGCTTGAGCTAGCAAAACAGAAATAACACTGAAGCTGCCATGTGCCTCGACAACATCCTGCCTCCCATCTTTAGATTTTGCTTGTAGTTTTCAAGGCACTGAATGCAGTGATTGAGCATGGTAATGTGCTCTGCTCACAGCCACAGGGAGCAGCAATTGGCATGGCAAGTTGTGTTTACTGTAGCTTAGTGTTACTCTAGCAATTCAGATACAAAACAAAAGATGAACATCCAATGTGAGTGAGCTTCTGGGATGGCATCACACTAACTAAACAGCCAGTCTCTAGATCAATTACTGTATTTGTTCAAGAAGTAGAGAAGGTATCATCAGTATTCAGCTTCTGACAAAAAATGTATTCCCATCTTACAACAATAAGGTTATTCCTGCAAATATTCATATTTTGGGTGTAAATGTGTTTTGTGTGTGAAAAAGAAAAAGATACAGCAACATATCCATTTATGGCACTTAAATACTTATATACCATATATACACATAATTACATAGCACAATTCTAATAATTGTTTATTTCTACAATTAAGAAGTAATTTTGCATCACCAATTTATTTGCCATCTTCCACTCATTTCATGTTGGTTTTACTTCCTTCAAACTAAGATAAATAGAAAGAGTCACCAGAGTTCCAAATGTGGCAGAATGAAAATATTAAATCCTGTTGACTGCTGGAGGTTGTATCACATCTTGAAACTTGTGTATTGTCACTATATGGCTGCATAAAAATATTAAAGCCCAAGCAAACACACAATAACTTGTGAACGAGAAGTGAGCAACTGATCCAACAAGGACATGCACCATCATGCATGCCAGCTCCTCTGGCAGGAAGTCTGCAACCATTTGAATGTCTACAATGCACCTTCTCTTTGTGGCCTGGAAAGTTTATGGAGGTTGAAGATGTTACTAAACATGGGCAGAAGAGATATTTTAAGGCACAAATCCAACTCTAAAATCACAGTTTGGGTCTGATTATGATGCAGCACAACATGATGACATTTTATGGCAAGATCAGAAATTGCCTGTCACTTTGGACCCAACATGCTCTGCAGAGCTTTACTGAAAATAATTTGGCTTTAAGACCGATTCTCATGATGGCTATATGTTTTGCAGCCTCCGCACTCTCTCCAGACCAAGGGCTTTTTTCTTGGTATCTGCCTTTTGTTGTCAACTTATACAGACTTGTGGGATAGGTTTCTGGAAAAAGTTTAACCACATGAGCATATCAGCAGCTACAATAGCATACAACAAACAGCTGGCAAAGAGTCAAGCTTCTGCAAATCACTGCCAACACTTCCATATTTTGTCTGATGTACATTGTGTTCTATAACTTGTGTACTAGAAAATAGATCCATTCACTGCAACAAGGCAACTATAAGAGACAGTACTTTGTTTACAATGACTTGGTTTTCTTTTAATGTAGCTACTTAACTATCACAACATACTTATCAGACATACATACCTACATACAAACATACATACACACACACATACTTACATACAAACACACACATACTTCCATCTATGACAACAGTCCTCTTTGTTACAAAGGAAGAATAAGTTCTCTACTGTCTACATAATGGCCAGCCAATCAGTAGGTAAAATGATGTGTTGGTGGTGATGGTGGTGGTTGGTGACACACGTACATCTTCATCCTTCAGCTGTCCTTTCATTCATATTTACTCTTTAGGATAAAGGGGAGACTTCAGTCCACAGTTAAACTGTTAGTGACCGTGAAGTACAAAATTTGGATTCAATTCATTTTTCATGTTGTGTAGAGATAAAATGCTTGTCTGCCATCTACCAGCAACTATGCTTCAATACACATACAAATGTTCTCTGCAATCACAACATTTCTTACACAAGAGAAGTTCACTGCTTGTTTCCTAAACATGTCACATCCATGTTGAACATAATAACTTATCATGTCACACACTTCCACATTTTTGGTCAGTTCATCCTGGGTACATGTTAATAATACCAATATAGCAGAGAGACATGTCACACAAAATATGTCAGTGTAAGTACACATCCTTTCTTTTCTTTTTTTGCTTCCTTCTACAACATGGACTAGAAACAGTCCAGTCTAATTTCATCAATGACTTCTTACCTCAATCACAGGACTACAAATAAATGCGTAGATCAAAGAGCAAATACAATAAAAAAGAACACCTCTTTTTTACTTCTGTCACATCCATGGCAACAGGTGGTTGTGCATGTGTTTGAGGGAGGTAATGACAGCTTTGCATGGTTTGGTCTTGCCTGCTGTCATCCTTTCGACTAGGACACACCTCCAGAGATGACTGCAATGCTTCATCAGTGCTGGAAAGCCAATGTTTGTTCACTTGTCGATTTAAAAATGACGGATGGAAAGCCTTCCTTACTTAGGCGGAAGCCACGTACGGCACATATAAATAATGTACACTATAATACAGGGAGCACGAGATGACTGAAGCCTCCTCACCGCCCGACTAGTCGCACTGTGAGGTATAACACTATGCCAGTCACCACTGGCAGATGGCAGTGGCTAGCTGTTTGGGCACCATTATAAGTTAGTTCTTCATTCTTGACTACTTCATTCGGATGCTTCTCATATTCATCTGCAATGAAACCCCACACAAATTAGCAATGCAGTGACCAGCTATGAGCTGCCAAGTACACAGAATCTTTAAGAATAAATTTCATTCAAATTAGGTAATGTTCAGAAATTGAAAGTCAATTACAGCTTATGTAAGCATTAAATTGTAGTTCAGTAGCAATAAAGGTATTTCATTAGGCTTATTTTTATTGCATAATGCAAAAGCAAAGGTTGTCAACAATAAAAATCATTGACAAGCAATTTATGTAAGTTAAACAACAATAAATTGTGGTTACTTTTAGGTCCATGTACCATGCAGAAAGAAGCATAGTCCTAAACACATGGATTCTGAAATCTCTGATACATTAACTATAAGACCTAGGAAGTCAAGGAGCTATCACAGAAGCCAGCCCTCTTATATCAAGGAGAATATAATGGCTGTGACCACAAATAATCAGTGTATAATTTCAGTCACTATGGTAGGCCGTAACAAAGCACTCTACCTCACACATTAAAGACTTGCATGATATTAACCAATATGTTTCATGAGATCAACAAGTTATTCACGTTTCATTCACAAAAGAAACAATGAGAGAGAAATTCCAGCAATATGTGGTATAATATAGCACTGAAGAAGTCAGGGATTCAGAAACCCTCTAAAATAATGAAAAATTCTGTTTTGTAAAACCTACAACAGGTCACCATGTCCATGGAATTGGACAATCTTAAAATGTACATTCAGGTTTTCAGAGTGGTGAGTGCTTTGCCAGATGACTACAGTGGAATACTGAAAATTTGTTGTTACAACTACAAAGACAAAACAACTCCATCCAGTGTGACTATTTAAGTTTTACTACTTGAAAACTTAGAACCCTTACATGTTTCGATCAATACTTATCGATACTTATTTGGAAACTACTATCACAAGAGATGTTCTGAGTGCTAAATTACATACACACACAATGCCTGGAATACACAATATAGACAAAATCCAAGTTTTCACAATCACAGCAGCTTTCCTGATATTAAAGTTTTTTAAAGTTTTTAAAATTTTGTTATTTAAGTTAAACCTTGGGTCTGAGTATTTCGGTCTCTTTCCTCCAGTGTTGAATAATCTGAAGGAAAATGGCACTAAAAACCTTTCACTGCATAAGATCCATCTAAAGATTAATCTTCAACCTTCTTCTGTGTCCTCCATTTGACCGTTTTCAGAGAGATTTTTCGACAAAATTCTGTATATATTTGTCTTTCTGGCCTGACCTAGTTCATCTCAATTTCCTTGGCCTTCCTTGACCTTCAATTTCTAATATTAGATGATCATATTACATGTGAAATTCCTTGTTATGCATTTCTCCAATTCCCTACTTACTACATCAACAACAGTTCCATATGTTTTGTTGTAGAATCTGTTTCCAAGTATGTGTTCTCTTAAAACAATATTATATTATAGCATCCTGCTGCATTTTTCACTTAGTATCAGTAGTTCCACGGTCTCATGTACAACACTACTGTTCTATGAAATTTATTCAAAGCTATTCTCTTTAAAGCTTGACACTATATGTTTCGACCAATGAGGTCATCATCAGGCATTAAAAATTATGGATGAGGAAACTGTTGTCTTCTGTATTGTTGCTTAAGTTGTTAATATACAGTCTTCTTAATGTGCATGTGTGTTTGAGGTGGTGCGTTTTGTTCTATCCTGTTGTTATGTTGCACGTCTTCTTTTCAAATGCTTCAAATGTTCGAATGAATTTGAATTTTATGAGAACTCTTAAAATTTGAACTAAATTAAATGATGACATAATGACACCACGGCTTTTCAACTTTGCTTCAGAATATGTCATTAGGAAGGCCCAAGAAAATCAGGTGGGACTCAAATTGGATAGAACCAGCTACTGGGCTATGCAGATGTTGTTAATTTGTTGAGGAAAAGTATAAGTGCCATACTTATACTAGTTGCAATAGTATTGTTGCCTTTTGTGCATATGTACAAGCATCATCTTAAATGCAACACTTACTGCTGTCTTTCGTGCTCTGTTTCTAGGCATTTTGTGACCACATGCATAATGCAGAAAATACACATGGGCACAGTCTATTAATGTCGCATGTTTCTACTACTTATTTTACCCACAAATCTTGTGGCAATTTCTGGTCATAATTATTATGTGAAACTGATGTGAATATCCCAGTCACAATTGACAGCTTATTTAAATGTCCAAGCTTTTCCATCTCAAGTGTTTTAAGTATGTACCTGCTTTTCATTCAGTGTAGGTATTCCTGAGAAAAGAAAGTGATTAAAGTTGACTTAAGCACAAATACAGTCAACTCTCGATTATCTGGGATAATGGTGGGGATGGAAATCACGATTAATCAAAAACCCGGTTAAGACAAATTTTATTAAAAGTAGTACTGTAATACTGTACCTTCATAATGCTATAGCCCTACCTGTATTTAAATTAATTCAACCTCATTTTTATGTCATCTCATGGCCTATTTAATACTTTTTTACATTACACTGAAGTATGAATTAGTAGTTATTTCAATCACAGTCTTCAACAACATCCAACACTTTTTACGAATATTTACACTTAACACTTAAAAAAAATTAATATTGTCGTTTACTTTTTCGCGGCATTTTCCTTTTTCTGTTGACTACTTAACACAACATGCTTCCTTTTACACCCTGACATTTTGCTAAGGCACTTGAAGATCAATACAAAGAGACCAACTGGGGCGGTGTATGTGTCCTTGAAACTTTCCACAAATCCTTGCATTCTTTCACCCCTACCCTAGACCATTGTGTTAGCATAACAGGACCAAAGAATATAGAGCTCGGTTCACACTAGTGCGAAAATAGTGTTACAACTCACCATGTGAAACAAAAGCGAATGAATATTGAACAACATATAAGCCTCAAAAAAGCCTCAGTAGCCCCGGTTGAGATGCAAACCGGTTAATCCGCCCCCAGATAATCGAGAGTTGACTGTAATATCTGCATAGGCACTTCATGTGTGAATCTTTCCATTCCTCTTATATTCAAAGAAATAACAACCAGCACAGCTCAATTGGAGCATGCCTGACTTGTGTTTAGGAGGAAGTCAACTTCAGTCGCAGCCAGGCCACAAGTTATACTGAGATTTCCATCAATTCAGTGAAGCGAAGGCCATACGAAGCCACTGAAATAAGTCAGCATGCTCCCTCAACGGTTCCAGTAATTTCATCACAAATAATCATTTATTTCTTTATGTACCCTTCAGACAAACCAAGCATGGATCATGTTTAAACATAAGAAACATACTTGTCTTCTTGGTGGTAGACTTGACATTATAGTTAGGAATATCTAGATCCTTATACGAAGTGGGCTTCACTGTGGTCGGCAGTGGAGTTGTCGTGCTCGTTGTAGTGGAGAGAACTGGTGTGGTAGGCATAGTTGAGCTTGCAGTTGTGCTGGGTAGGTGGTTGAAAACAGCTGCAAACACAAAGAAATTACATTAAACCAGACAATAATCTATAAGGTTCCTTAATTTCTGAGTTATGAACTTTCCTGCTCTTGCGCTTACTGAATATACCCACAGAAGTATAATGTGGACAATTTCCATATTTTCACTGCATAACACCAATTTCATTTAATTGCAATATATCATGAAACCCCACAGCATGAAAGACAACAAAAGAGTGAGGCATTAATATGTGTGTGAAATATCAATACATTGCTTTCTATGAAATTTAGCATATGTGTATCATATGCTGTGTGTTTTCTTTTTACTTTCCTCTGCTCCTCAGCATTCATCATATTTAACCGAAGGCAGAATAATGTGTGAAGGTTCCATAAGGGGTAGTACTCGTAATGATTTTTGTAGTCACTGCTATCATTGTCAAGTCACCACATGTTAGCTTCATCAGTGCTTACATTGCTGCCAACACCATAGCAAAGTGGTCTCTGTGCCTGAGCCCCACACTGTGAAGATTTATGGGGAGTGGAGGTAAAGCTCTGTGCATCCTTAATTTTGGCACTAGACAAAGGTAGTGGTTAGTATTGAACTCCAAAGGCAAATTGTTGCTGCTGTTGGTGGTGGAACTATTACTACTGCCAATTTATTGAGCAATGCTCTTCCTCAGTATTGAACCCATCACTGACTTCAGTAACAAAAATGAGTAATTTCTTAACGAAGAACTTTATAGATAATATGATTTGGTTTCCATCCACAGCTTGTAAGAAGCATTGTCCTACTTAACTTATTTCCAGCTTGGTCAGTAGCAATTACTGATGAACATCAATATGTATTCTGATGTAGGAAGTCAGCTTTGGCCATATTATTCTGCATTCAGCAGAAAATGAGAGCAAGAACTGGAGCACAATGGGACCATGTCTGGCAATTTATAAGTCACAGAGAGACTGTTCAATTAGAAGTGCTGTATAAAATTGTACATGATTCAGAATAGTCAAGAAACTTCACAAATGTTAAAAAAGAAGTGTATGCACAAGATGTGTAATTAAGACCACACAAGCAGGTGATATATTTTTAGTTCATAATGAGTAACAATAAACAGGCATTTTAACTGCATAGTTTAAAAATTCTCCTTCTAAATATTCCATTAACAAAATAATCAGAAGTGTTGGAATTTGTAGTCTAAATCTCCCTCTAACACACACAAATGGAAGTACTTCATTAGGAAAAATTTGAATATTAAGAAGAATGAAGCAGTTCATTTATAAGTCATTAAAGATACTGATCTCAAAATAAATTTATATGAAGCTTATGGACGACCATATCTCTAAACCAAAATCTGTAAGCTGGCACATAACTACAAGTATAACAGCACCTTATAAATATTCTGAAAATGTGTAAAAATGAAGATACCTGATAGACGCAACAAAAATGTGATCATATAAGCAGAATAAGACTAGAAATTCTGTTATTATTCAATTGAAACAGCCACTGTCTGGCCTACTAAGATAAAAAACAATAATTTTACTAATATAGCTCATGCTCTTTTGAAATACTGTCATTTAATTTAAACACAAAAAAATACACTACACAGGCACCTAGAAACAAAGTGTAAAAATGTCTGCATGAAGGAAAGACAAATGAAATGATAAAGAAGATACTACACAATAAAGAATTTAACAATTTACAGTTTTCCTAGTGTTTTTACCAGTAGTGCAGATTAAATTTTGGGAATACTTGCTGTCATTTAGTACAGATTCTTTTGTCTTCACGTCTGCTATCTAAACACACAGAGGCTGAAACAGATGAAATATAATTTTTCATGCTACTATGTATGGGGGTGAAACTTTGTCTCTCACATTAAGGAGAGATTGTGTGTGTTTGAGGAGAGGGTGCTGATGTGAGTACCCAGACTCAAGGGGAGTGATAAATTCAATCGTACACTTTCTTTACATACTTACTTACTTACTTACTTACTCATGAAGCTGAGCCCTTCTGGAGGAGCTGCCAATTCTGCAGCTACTCAAGAATTTCCCAGCATTTTATGGAACCCGAAGGTTCATTACCATGTTCACAAGAGCCCTCCACTGGTACCTATCCTGAGCCAGATAAATCCAGTCCACACCATCCCACCCTTTCTAAGATCCATTTTAATATTGGCCACCCACCTAAGCCTTGGTCTTCCCAGTGGTCTCATTCCTCCTGGCTTTCCCACCAATATCCTATATGCATTCGTCTCCCCCATTCGTGCTACATGCCCTGCCCACCTCATCCTCCTTGACTTGACCATTCTAATTATACTTGGAGAAGAGTACAAGTTATGAAGCTCCTCATTATGCAGTTTTCTCCAACCTCCTGTTACTTCATCTCTCTTTGGTCCAAATATTCTCCTCAACACCTTGTTCTCAAACATCCTCAGTCTATGTTCCTCCCTTAATGTCAGAGACGAAGTTTCACACCCATACAGAACCACAGGCAAAATTATAGTTTTGTATACTCTAATTTTTATGTTTTTGGATAGCAGACGAGAAGACAAAAGGTTTTGGACTGAACAGTAGCAATACTACAGTCCTTAAATTTCTCTTACTCTGGTTGTTCAAGTCCTCGGGTCGGCAGCAAACCTTGAAGACAACCTTCATGTTGTGGGTGGAGCAACGTCCACCAATACGCCGATGCAAGTCATCCTTGGATGACGTGGCTGAAAATGTACAGACAGAAGTTGTAGGTCACATCATTAATAGGATATATGTAAGAGAAGACATTTCACTATTTGTACATTTCCACAAAAGCATTTGAAAAATAACATATAATTATTTAAATTATGCAGGTCGATAAACTTCATTTTTCTTGTAATGTTCAATTTAGCATGCCATTTATAATTTTAATGTTATTATTTATGCCTTTACACAGTTCCAATAAAATATATTTATGTGCAATTCCAAATTACATGCATTAATTTACATCATGAGAGGTATTGTTTAGAGTATTGCTAATAACTTATTTACATCCAATTCTAAAATCCAAGGCACTTGAATACAACATGGATGCAATAGACCCACCAGCTGGAATACTGCTGGTAACCACATAATCTGAAGCCTGTACATCATCCATTGGCAAATGCCTGTGAACTACAGTTCTTCCCTCCCTTCCAGCATTATTCAGCTTCTGTCTCACTTTACTACATTGAAGTCAATATAATAAACTGCTAAATGATCATTTTGAGCACATGTACAAACAGTTAGGTTGTTATCACAGAAATGAGGACACCTCAGAATATTGCTTCACATAGAACTTTCTTGAATGAGGTTAAAGTGTGCAAAACTCAAGGTGTGCAGAAAGATTCAGTGAACAGTGGACAGAAGGGTGACCATAACAATGGATGTTAGACTGCTGATGTGTGCTGAGCTCCTGAATTGTCTATTTTTGTCATAAGTGTATACAATAATAAAGACTGTGGGAGACAAGAGTGTTAGATTAACTTGCTACTGGTTTCTGCTCCAGTTTCAATGAAAAAAAGATGGGAATAGGGTACAACAGCTGAAATTTGCAGTGGAGATATATTCCATAGTGCTTGTGCCATAAGTGATGATTGTGCAAGAGAGATGAAGATAAGGGGAACAGCAGTGTGGGAAGGGTACCACAACCAGTGAGCAGAAGAGAAGGGAACAGCTATCTCTGACAGCAGTCATACCGAAAACATATCCTACCTGAGGTCGCAACATGCTATGGTGACAAAGGATACACTTAACATGAATTCTTACTTATTGTGTAATAACTGTCACATAGAAGCATTAGTAGCAGACATTCCTACAGTTTACATTTTAAAACTGCACAATATATTTGCATAAGACAAATAACTCCTAATGTATTGCCTAAATACACAGACTGAAACACTGGGTCATTAATACTTGGCATCTGTGCAGTACCTAACAGTGGATTCTGTACTGCTGTCTTTATTGACCATTTGCTCCATGGAGTTATCAAGGCAATGTCTTCCATCTTCAATTGTCTGTATGTGTTTACAGACAGCAGCCCATTCTCCTTGTCCAAGATTATGGGAAGTTTCATGCGTCACTCTGCATCATCAGTTTCGAATGCAGCATTTTTACCAGCAACTCTGTGCTTCACTATACCCCATATTTTCTCAACAGGATTTAGATCATGATGATATGGATGTAATACGAGAACAGTATGTTCACGAAAATCGACCATGGCATTGATATTATATTTTGCAGTGAAGCTCATACAACTTAACGATTTAGTAAAGCTGTACTTTTGTCATATCCTCTTTTATCACATTATGTTGAATCAACCAGGTCAACGTACTGTCACATGTATGAGTGACTCTTGACAGGGTTTTGGATTGAATATTGGATTTACTGACCACTTTAAAACGCAACTTCTAATTACAATTAATTTTAGCGCCATTGCTGATCTCCACACTTTACAAATCAGTAGAGCACATGCTAAGTCTTTTCCAGCCCACAGTGTCTTCACTAGTAGTTGCCTGGTAACGGGTTCTAACAATGGCTGTTCTTCTGCTTCTGGGATCAAATCCTCTCTGAATGGCGGCTCCCTTCCAACTGAACTCAGTCTTCGCTTTGTCCCGCCCATAATTCCTCGATATAGACCACCAGAGAAAACACCATTTCCAGCAGTTCCATTATTGTTGCATGTTGATTCGTTTCTGTGGAGACCTATTTGTTTGCGACCGTTACCCAGCAACGGCTCTGGTATATTCGCTTATCTCGCGGTCGATGCCTATTAACGGCTCTACAAGCTATAACATATGTAGCCAGCCAACTTTCCTTATTTTGAAAAAATAAAAAAGAGCTTATGTTATCACCTTGCTGTCTGTTTGTTTGGGTCTTTGTATCATTTAGAGAAGTTCCATTCTGCATAGAACACGGAGTATATGATGTGAAGGATCTGGTAAAAGAAACTAAAGTTTACATTTCATTATGACGTGATGCATTTTCATTTTCGTTTTCATTTATTTTAAGATAAGCGAGATACATTTCAGCAGTCATTAACAGTGTGCTACAATTTCATGTGAAATCCAAAAGACACGCCAATTTAGTGCTGGAATAAGTTTTCATTATACAGCCTGTCACACAAGAATTACATACTGAATGTTGAAAGAATAACATGCATGTAAGCCCAAGAACCAAGTGATGTTAAATGGAAAATAAAAGTAGTTTCTGAAACTGAAGATTTCTCTACATGTTCATGCTAGTAATGTTTCTTTATTTATAGATTTTAACACAATCATAAGCCTTAGGCACCTAAAATTGCCTGGAAATAAAAAGTATGTGTATAAATTTATCTTCATCTTTCCATACAAATACACAGTTCTTACTTACAGATGAAATAGTAGTCCTGGCCAGGTTGGAACTCCAGCCCTCCAGGTTGTGGGGTGAATGACCGAAATGTTATGGTGAAGTACATCAACTTGTATGGTTTGTCACAGATCGCTATAATCCGAGGGTTTGGATTTGTGATCCGACAAGTGTCATATTCCTCCTTTGATACCTGTAAAATACAATGTTCATAAATACACAACGAAACTTTAAAAAGTTTTACAATGAGAGTCCCCTCAGGGTGGGTCACCCTTTGACACGAATTGCAATGGGACCTCAGGGTATGATCCTATATTCTTACCCTTGGAATCTACGCTTGGTCTGATCTGTGTGCAGATTCTTCTGCGCACAGGTTGATACCTTCACTTCTGCCAAAGATGAAACTTTGGGAATGTGTAGAATACCGTCATTCTCATGAACAAGAGAATCTGCCCTATGGGTGCCCTGCTTCATAAACTGTTTCTATGCGCCTGTAATATAAGCGCATAGAAACATTCATAATTTTAATACCAGTATTATTAACATTGTACTGTATTGTATTCGTTTTTTTACTTTTCTTTATCCAATGGTTGTACCAGTATGGATCAACAGAAAATAATACTAAACAAATCCCCCCCCCCCCTCAATTGATTGAGCTCTCTCATGAGACTTCAGC